GTTTAACTTAAACCCTCAGCTTTATATAGGAATAGCATAGAACATTAAGGGCCTCTGTTTAACAAACTGCCTGACATTTTTATTTATAGTTTCAAAATTAGAGATAAATGCACTGCAAATCACTGATAAATGTTTTCCTCACTATGGTGTTACCTGAGATAAGTTGGGCATCAATTGATGAAATACAGTGATTCATTTGCATTACTTGCATTACGTTTTTCCTCATGAAGTAACTCAATTGTGCATTCAATGTTTTAACCTTCCCCAACACATTATCCAGGGACAGAATGAATATCCTAAGTGTCTAGAATGAAGAGAAGACAGTAGGAGAACCTTTGGGAAAGAAAATTACTAAATCAAAGAGATTTAATTAATCCTGGTTTGAAAACTAACTTCTGGCGGGATTTCGTCTGCCAAGATTTCATCTCGATGCAGTTTTTTAGATTATCTGGAACATAATATTGTTATTGAAATATTTACCATCGTTTTAGAGTCTCCAATTGAATCACTGGAACCTAACAATAAGATTTGCTCATAGTGTAATCTAGTTTAAACTGAATAGACTGAGAAAGTGAACCAGTGTTTGGATAGAGTTCTCCATGGCTAGTAATCTCTGGCTGGTCTTTGAGAAAATTAAGGCTTCTTATGGCACCTGCTGTACCACTGTAGATTAAGAATATAGAGAAGCTTATCATTATTTTTTTAATTTTTTTTAATTCTTCTTCTTCTTTTTAATTCTATTTTTTTAATTCTTCAAACAATGAGGAAAAAAATGGAATTTGGGATTCCAATGAATTCATTGCAATTATTAAACTAGACTACAGCATGAGAGCTCTTATATAATGCTAAAATATAATTTTTATGTATTTGTACAGACTATAAATTCTGGATTCCTGGAGGCAAAGCATTCTCGGAGGCAAAACTATGCATTGCACTGTTAACTGAAAAAAACAGAAGATCAAATCCAGTGGTTGTAACAGAGGAGACAGAGTAGACAATCTGTCTTCATAGTGATTTACAGCCTTGGAAACCTTATGTGAAAATTCTATTTGGCCCTATAAGGTTACATAGGTGAGGTACAATCAATAGCAGTAGGAAATATTAAAATTGAAGGTAAAAAATGAAGCAAAATCAGTTCAGTGGTATTCATAGTTATCCTTATGCCATGAAAAAATAGTGTTTTAAAAATTTGACATATTTTCATAAATAAATACATATGCATGTGGGGGTGAGGGAAATTGGAAAAATCTGTTCTGGAAAACAGTGTATTGGAATTTTGTAAATAAATTAGTATAATAATTTAAAACGTTTAAAAATTATATATATATATTCTGAAAGAGATATTTCTTGTGTTAGCAAGGATTGGTTAAGTTCCCTATGTCAACTTTTTTTCCCATTTCTAGGATTAACGTTTCGATTTCTTCACACAAAAGTTATGCTCTTGTCAGAGAGAAATAAAAGTGGAGCCATATTCACTCTCCTGGGCTTCTCGGATTATCCAGACCTGCAGGTTCCCTTCTTCCTGATATTTCTGGCTGTCTACAGTGTCACTGTTGTAGGGAACCTTGGCATGATTGTAATCATCAAAATCAACCCCAAACTTCACACTCCCATGTACTTTTTTCTCAGTCATCTCTCATTTGTGGATTTCTGCTATTCCTCCATTGTTGCTCCGAAGATGCTGGTGAATTTGATAGTAGAAGATAGAAGCATTTCATTTTCAGAATGTGTAGTCCAATTCTTTTTCTTCTGTACATTTGTGGTAACGGAATCCTTTCTATTAGCAGTAATGGCCTATGATCGCTTTGTGGCCATTTGCAACCCTCTGCTCTACACAGTTACGATGTCCCAGAGATTCTGTGCTATGCTGGTGGTGGGGTCCTATGCCTGGGGAGTAACGTGTTCCTTGATACTCACATGCTCAGCTTTGAATTTATGCTTTCGTGGTTTCAACACAATCAATCACTTCTTTTGTGAGTTCTCTTCACTGCTTTCTCTCTCTTGCTCTGATACGTTTCTTAACCAAATGCTACTTTTCATCTTTGCTACCTTTAATGAAGTGAGTACATTGCTCATCATTCTTACCTCTTATATGTTCATCGTTGTCACCATCCTGAAAATGCGCTCAGCCAGTGGGAGGCGTAAGGCGTTCTCCACTTGTGCCTCTCACTTGACTGCCATCACCATCTTCCATGGCACCATCCTCTTCCTCTACTGCGTGCCCAACTCCAAAAACTCCAGACACACTGTCAAAGTAGCCTCTGTGTTTTACACAGTGGTGATCCCCATGCTGAATCCCTTGATCTACAGTCTGAGGAATAAAGATGTCAAGAGTACAGTCAGTAAGATATTGGACACTAAAGTATTTTCTCACTGAGCCTATAATTTTTGTCCCTAACTAATATTTTATACCTAATTAAAAAATGTTTACCAAAGATGTTATATTTAAGGATATCTTAAAAAAATTAATAATTATTCTTGCATAATAGTAAGAGTGGAGTTTTTTTTTCTATTTGAAGTCCAGGTATCTTGTAAGAAAATCAGATGAAATTAAAATTATGCAAAGTGTCAGTGTTACATCTTTATTTTCTTTTGGTCTTCACTCAGACCGTGAGCAACTCCTGCTAGCACAGATTCATGGATACGAAACTGAAAATGACAGAGATTTTGGATCTTTTCTTAAATTAAGACACCAGGACCAGTTAAGGATATTCAAATAAAAAAACTCCACTCTTACTATTATGCAAGAATAATTATTAATTTTTTTAAGATATACTTAAAAAGAACAGTACATTCTCAATGATACTTTTTTTCTTATAAATTTAAAAATGACATTAAAGGTAAAATTTAAGTTTTTATCATTATAGTATAATCTATATAATCTAATGGTGGAGTAATCATGTGGCTATCAAAAGTATCATAAAAGGTTTAGGGTCAGAAATTGTTTAAGTTCCTTACAGATAATAGAAATATGCATTCATAAAAGAGGTAATATTTGAATTTAACATAGTGAATGGACAGGGTTTTAGGAAAAAAAGGGTTTGATGAAGAAAGCCTTTTATTCCAGACTCTGGGTAAGACTAGAATGATCAAAGTAAAAAAAAAAAAAAAGTAATAATTTGCATTTTTAATTTAGTACTTATTGCTTAATATGTTTCTGTGTTTATGTGGTATCTTACATACAAGTTCTTTCAACATGAATGCAATGTTTAATAAAAATGATACATCTCTTGAACAAGGGAGAGTTCATTACTTAGTGAGAAGGAGTCTCCCCGTCAACTCCAATGTACCTGGTTCAAATGCACCAGTCACTCTGTGGGGAAAAGATGAACAATTCACAACCTCCAAAAATCCAGAGTGTCAGTTATTTGTTTGTCAGGTGAGGCTTGAGAGCACATTACAACAACAATTGAACACATGTTCAAAAGAGGTCCAGTATGGCAGAATTATCAGTTGGACAGACTGTACCAGAACAAATCTCTTAAACCAATTAATTAGCTTAGAAACAAATCTCTGAAAACCAGTATGAGCAAAAGATGTGAAAAATGAATGAATGCCTACTGACTCTCTATTTCATGTCATTATTTTGCCAACTCAATTATCATGAATTTTAAATATACTACTTATTACATTTGTTTATTTTTATACATAGTATAGAACACTAACAAAAATTCTGAATTAGTCTCAGTGCAATTCTCATTCACCATGAAAAATGTAAATTGAAACAAATATTTAGGGTTATGAAACGTATTGGGTAATATTTACCTTATAAAAGTCTTCCAAATTATATTAAAAGGAAACATTTATGTTTGAATGCATAGTTTGTTAAATTCAAAGTACTATACCCATTATCTCTTATTTTAGCAATTATATCTTATTCCAGTCAACAAATACAAGTAAAATTCCAGATAAAACAATAATCTAGTTTGAAATATAGTTTGTCAGATATTTTCATAGGGATAAATAGAGAATGTATAAGGTAATTTTCTACAGTTTTATAATTGTTTGTAAAAGATCTTTACTGTGAAAATAGGAGGGTAATTTTAGAGGACAAAATGAAGAGCAGAAACATAAAAGGTGAACAAAGAATACTACTAGTATTAAGGCAATCAACCTGGGAAGAATGACATAAAGACAGTAAGGCTATTTTAAGTAGGAAATAGAAACAATAAAAGGGAAAGGGGAGAAGAAATGTAGGAGAAGGAAGAGGAAATGAGTAGGACAGTGGTGATTAGTGCAGAGATAGAGGGGTGAAGAACTAGGCAAGAAGAAAAAGGGCGAAGAGAATTTAAAAAGGTAAGATAAAAGTAACAGATCCATGTTAATTAATTACATACACTGCACAGAAATGATTGTACAAAGCAAAATGTACATCAATGAAACAATGTATATAATAATTGTATAAGAGTGAATGATGGACCTGAAAAGACAGAGTAATGGTGAGTATAGGTTAATAGTTATTGATTTTATAAAACACAATGAACATATGCTCTGCTGGAGAAGGAGGGACAGATTCCTCCTGTAGCTGGGTCTGATTTGATGGTATAAACACACATAAAATAATAAAAATGAAAATGAAAGCAAAACAAAGCAAATCAAAACTGGAATTTATGGCAATGATTGTGTGAGATACAATATAAACAAAGGGAAGTGTGAAACACATTGTATACGAATTTTGTATGCAAACCAATATAAAATAAAAATAAAAAAGAAAAATGATTGTATAAAGTCTTAAGAATTAGAATTTGTGGAAATTATTTAAATTTTTATTTCCAGTACTATATATTATTCAAAAAATATTTCTTACATACAAAACTACAGTGACACTGTTTTAGATAATGAAAGTCTAACGCAAATAGTTCTTCATTTATTTTTTTTTCTAATTCCTTACATACCTAGGACTTCAACTTAAAATTTTCTTTGATGTTAGTAAATAATTTACATTAATTATAAATTGATTCAATTACAGGTAATCAATCCCCTTTTAAAAAATATTTCACTTCATTTCTTTTTGGAAAATAGGATCTCATTTTGTGGTGAAAGTGGCAAGGACAGTTAAAGCTTTACTTTGATGAAATTGAGACCTTATGCTGTTAAAGTTGGCCACAGCTATAGGAACAACTGATAATAGAATCAGAGTCATCATTTCAATTCCTGCCATAGCAGCAAAAACCTTGTCTAGTAAGTTCTTGTAGAATGAAATGAGATGGAGAAAACATCTCATATTTTCTTTACAAATTGTGTCATACAAAATTCTTCACAGTAGATTTTTTTCCCTGTAAATTAAATGTTAGAGTTGCTATGATGCTGAACACCGTGCTAAAGTCATATCAAATCCCATAATGTTACTCATCATGGACAGGGCTTGGAAGAGCTTCCAGATTTATTTAGGTTTGGAAGCAGGAGTGGCATCCACTTCTTAAACCAGATGCCTCTGGAAACTCTAGAACTCTGCAGAACTCTGCAGAAATGATGTTAATTATAGAACAGAATTAGGGTCTTTTGTTCATAGGGTTGCTATGAGTCATATTCGACTTGATGCCACTTAACCGCTGCTGAGACTAGTGTTGTTATATTTGGAGGAACATTCTTCTACTTTGCACATTATTCATTGTCAATTTTCTGTACTGAGGTAAATTGGGTTTCCTGTGATGTTGAACCTTGTGTCACTGGAGTATCAAATACCATAATGGTTTCCAAATATTGACAGTGTTTGGTGGAGCTCCCAGCTGAAAAGGAGTTTTGGAAGCAGAAGTGGTATCCAATTCCTAAACCAAATGTCTATGAAAACTCTATGAACTTGGAGAAACGATGATAGTTATGGAAAGGCATGAGGTCTTTTGTTCATAGAGTGAGTCACTATGAGTTGTACTCAACTTGATGGCAATCAACAACGACAAATTAAATATTTCTTATTTTGGCAATCTTATTTTATTCAAATCCACAGATGTGAAAATTAGCTTCACAAAAGTATATATACTCCAGAAACTTAATATGACATGTATTTCTTTTTACTGTTTTAAGTATAGTGACAGCTTATTTTTCACTTTAGAAGTGCTTCCCTCAACTTGAGACAGATATTCTTTGGAGGTGTGAATTTACAAACATTTGCTTATGTTAATAACTTCAAGTGAAAAAGAAACTGTTAATGTTTCATAAGATAGAATGTTAATGTTTCTCAAGTGGAAAAATTATAAAACATTGGTTTTCATAATTAAAAATTATAAGACGATCCTCATTGTTGTTATGTGACATCCAGTCGCCTGAAACCCATAGTGACCCTATCTATGTACAGCAGCTCTGAACCCTACTCTGTCCTGAGCCAGTCTCACTAATTCTGACACGCCCATACCTGCTGCTCCAGTTACTGTATCAAACAAACTCATTCGGGGTCCTCCTCTCCTGCAATGTCCATTCACCCTTCCGAGAATGAATGATGTCCTTCTCCAAGGACTGATCTCTTTTGCTCAAAATATGTGAGATGGAGCTTCAAAATCCTAGCTTCTGAGAAGAAACTTGGTTTCACCCTTTCCAAGACATACCTATTTGGTTTTCTGGGTGGTCCATGGTATGTTCAAGACTCTTTCCCAGCACCACAATTTGAAGGCATCAATTCTTCTTCTGTCATTTATAGTCATTGTTCAACTCTTTGATGAATGGCATGCAATTGCAGAAACCATGGCCTGGATCAGGCTCGGCTCACCATAGTCTCTAGACCGAATCATTGCTTTTTAGTACTTGGAGAGGTCTCTGGCAGCAGATTTTCCCAATGTTATTAATCTTTGACATCACAGCCAACATTAAATGGATCTTAGCGGAAAGCGGAGAGCACAAGAGGAATGCCTATCTGTGTTTTATTGACTATAGGAAAGAATTTGACTGTGTAGATCACAAGTTGTAGCTATTCCTGAGAAGGATAGGAATCACAGAACACCTAATTTTGCTCGTGAGGACCTTACACTTGAACCAGAAGCGGTCATTAGAACAGAGCAAGGAAACATTGCATGGTTTAAAATTAGAAAAAGTGTACATCAAAGATATATCCTATCAGCATACCTTTTCAATCTGTATGTGGAATAGATAATTCAGGAGGCTGGGTTTTATGAGGAGGAATGTGGTATTAGGAATGGAGGAAGACTCAGAAACAGCCTGAGCGATGCAGATGACACAGTCTTGCTTGCTGAAACTGAGGAGGCCTGAGGCATTTGCTGCACAAGGTCAAGGACTGCATTGGAGACTACAGTCCTTGACCTTCTGCAGCAAGTGCTTCAAGTTTACCTCTGTTTCAGCAAGCAAGGTCGTGTCATCTGCACAACATACATAGTGCACAGTAGAACACACTCTTGGTATTAACAGCCAGAATACTAAAGGACAAAT